CTCTCTCTTATCGTCCTCTGTATCTCTCTAGCGTGCACTTATCTCTCTTCTTTCTCATTTCTCTATATCTCTCTGCTCTGTCTCTCTCTCGCTCTCTCTCTCTGTCGATCTCTCTTGTTTTGCCTGTCTCGTATCTCTCTCTCGTCCGCTCTCTCTCTCTCTCTCTCTCGCTCTCTCTCCTCTCTCTGTGGATCTCTGTCTCTCTCTCACTCTAGTTCTCTCTGTCTCTGTCTCTCTATTCTCTCTCTACTCTGGTCTATGTCTCTCTCTCTGTCTGTCTAGAATCTATCTCTCCACTATCGTTCTCTCTGTCTCTGTCTCTCTATTTCTTCTCTCTCTGTGTCCCGCTCTCTCTGTCTCTCTCTAATTCTTCGAGCACTCTCGCTCATCGCTCTTTCTCGTTTTCTCCTCTCTCGCTCTCGCTCTCTCTCTCTCTATCGTATCGCTCGCTCTCGTCTCTCTCTCTCTCTTTTTCTCTTTTTCTCTCTCTCTGTGTCTCTGACTCTCTCTCTGTCTCTTCTCTCTATCGCTCTCTCTGTCTCTCTCTCGCGCGCACTCTCTCTCTCTCTCTCGCGCGCACTCTCTCTCTCTTTCTCATTTTCTCTCTCTCTCTTCTCTGTCTCTCTCTCGCGCTCTCTCTCTCCTCTCTCTCTCTGTCGCTCTCTCTTTGTCTCTGTCTCTGTCTCTCTCTCACTCTCGTTCTCTCTCTCTCTCTCTCTGTCTCTGTCTCTCTCTTTCTTTCTCTCTCTCTCTTTCTCTCGCTCTCTGTCTCTGTCTCTCTCTCTTTCTCTCTCTCTCGCGCACTCTCTCTCTCTCTCTTTCTCGTTTTCTCTCTCTCTCTCTCTCTCTCTCTGTATCGCTCACTCTCTCTCTGTCTCTCTCTCTCTCTTTCTCTTTCTTTCTCTCTCTCTCTCTCTCTCTCTCTCGCTCTGTCTGTCTCTCTCTCTCGCTCTCTATCTCTCACTGTCTCTGTAAATTCAATTTCAATTTAAGGTCTTTATTGGCATGGGAAACATATGTTAACATTGCCAAAGCAAGGGAAGTAGATAGTAAACAAAAGTGAAATAAACAATAAATATTAACAGTAAACATTACACTCAGAAGTTCCAAAAGAATAAAGACATTTCAAATGTCATGTTATGTATATATACAGTGTTGTAACAATGTGCAAATAGTTAAAATACAAATGGGAAAATAAATAAACATAAATATGGGTTGTATTTACAATGGTGCCCTTTTCTTACACTGGTTGCCCTTTTCTTGTTGCAACAGGTCACAAATCTTGCTGCTGTGATGGCACACTGTGGTTTTTCACCCAGTAGATAAGGGAGTTTATCAAAATTGGGTTTGTTTTCGAATTATTTGTGGATCTCTGTAATCTGAGGGAAATATGTGTCTCTAATATGGTCATACATTTGGCTGGAGGTTTGGAAATGCAGCTCAGTTTCCACCTCATTCTGTGGGCAGTGTACACATAGCCTGTCTTCTCTTGAGAGCCAGGTCTGCCTACGACGGCCTTTCTCAATAGCAAGGCTATGCTCTCTGAGTCTGTACATAGTCAAAGCTTTCCTTAAGTTTAGGTCAGTCACAGTGGTTAGGTATTCTGCCACTGTGTACTCTCTGTTTAGGGCCAAATAGCATTCTAGTTAGCTCTGTTTTTTTGTTAATTCTTTCCATTGTGTCAAGTAATTCTCTTTTTGTTTTCTCATGATTTGGTTAGGTCTAATTGTGTTGTTGTTGTTGTCCTGGGGCTCTGTGGGGTCTGTTTGTGTCTGTGAACAGAGCCCCAGGACCAGCTTACTTAGGGGACTCCTCTCCAAGTTCATCTCTCTGTAGGTGATGGCTTTGTTATGGAAGGTTTGGGAATCGCTTCCTTTTAAGTGGTTATAGAATTTAACGGCTCTTTTCTGGATTTTGATAATTAGCTGGTATCGGCCTAATTCTGCTCTGCATGCATTATTTGATGTCTTTCATTGTACACAGAGGATATTTTTGGCAGAATTCTGCATACAGAGTCTCAATTTGGTGTTTGTCCCATTTTGTGAATTCTTGGTTGGTGAGCGGACCCCAGACCTCACAACCATAAAGGGCAATGGGTTCTATAACTGATTGAAGTATTTTTAGCCAGATCCTAATTGGTATGTCGAATTTTATGTTCCTTTTGATGGCATAGAAGGCCCTTCTTGCCTTCTTCTCAGATCGTTCACAGCTTTGTGGAAGTTACCTGTGTCGCTGATGTTTAGGCCGAGGTATGTATAGTTTTTTGTGTGCTCTAGGGCAACGGTGTCTAGACGGAATTTGTATTTGTGGTCCTGGCAACTGGACCTTTTGTGGAACCCCATTATTTTTTTCTTACTGAGATTTACTGTCAGGGCCCAGGTCTGACATAATCTGTGCAGAAGATCTAGGTGCTGCTGTAGGCCCTACTTGGTTGGTGACAGAAGCACCAGATCATCAGCAAACAGTAGACATTTGACTTCAGATTATTTTAGGGTAAGTCCGGGTGCTGCAGACTGTTTTAGTGCCCTCGCCAATTCGTTGATATATATGTTGAAGAGGGGGGGGCTTAAACTGCATCCCTGTCTCACCCCATGGCCCTGTGGAAAGAAATGTGTGTGTTTTTTACCAATTTTAACTGCACACTTGTTGTTTATGTACATGGATTTTATAATGTCGTATGTTTTCCCCCAACCCCACTTTCCATCAATTTGTATAGCAGACCCTCATGCCAAATTGAGTCAAAAGCTTTTTTGAAATCAACAAAGCATTAGAATAATATGCCATTTAGCAGACGCTTTTTTCCAAAGCGACTTACAGTCATGCGTGCATTCATTTTTTGTGTATGGGTGGTCCCGGGGATCGAACCCACTACCTTGGCGTTACAGGCGCCGTGCTCTACCAGCTGAGCTACAGAGGACCACAGAAGACTTTGCCTTTGTTTTGGTTTGTTTGTTTGTCAATTAGGATGTGCAGGGTGAATACGTGGTCTGTCGTACAGTAATTTGGTAAAAAGCCAATTTGACATTTGCTCAGTACATTGTTTTCACTGAGGAAATGAGCTAATCTGCTGTTAATGATAATGCAGAGGATTTTCCCAAGGTTGCTGTTGACGCATATCCCATGGTAGTTATTGGGGTCAAATGTGTGGGGAAGATGCCATAGCTAAGGATGATGTTAAAGAGTTTAAGTATAGCCAATTGGAATTTGTGGTCTGTATATTTTATCATTTCTTTGAGGATACCATCAACACCACAGGCCTTTTTGGGTTGGAGGGTTTGTATTTTGTCCTGTAGTTCCTTCAATGTAATTGGAGAATCCAGTGGGTTCTGGTAGTCTTTAATAGTTGATTCTAAGATTTGCATTTGATCATGTATATTTTTTTGCTGTTTGTTCTTTGTTATAGGGCCAAAAAGATTGGAGAAGTGGTTTACCCATACATCTCCGTTTTGGATAGATAGCTCTTCGTGTTGTTGTTTGTTTAGTGTTTTCCAATTTTCCCAGAAGTGGTTCTTCAATTACATTGAGCTGATTTCTGACAAGCTGTTCCTTTTTTTCTCTGTAGTGTATTTCTGTATTGTTTTAGTGATTCACCATAGTGAAGGCGTAGGCTCTATGTTTTTGGTTGGATAGGTTTCTCAATTTCTTTCTTAGGTTTTTGCATTCTTCATCAAACCAAACTTCGGTTTTCTGTTAGAGATTTTTAGATTTGATAGGGAAGCTGAGAGGTCTGATATACTGTTCAGGTTTTCTACTGCCAATTTTACACCTTCACTATTACAGTGGAACGTTTTGTCCAGGAAGTTGTCTAAAAGGGATTGAATTTGTTGTTGCCTAATTGTTTTTTGGTAGGTTTCGACACTACTTTCCTTCCATCTATAGCATTTCTTAATATTATTCAGTTCCTTTAGCCTTGATGCCTCATTGATTGAGTGTTGAGACTGGTGGGTTTGCGTGTTGATAGGGGATGTCAGTGGCTGCTGTGAAATGAAATCTCTGAGACTCTGGGTTACACCCTTCACTCTCACGCTCCCAATGGCACATGCAATTCCCGAACTCTCATGCTTTCTTCCTCGTCCCCCTTCATACCTCTTCCGTTTCCTTCCATTCCCCCTCCTCCCACACGATCTCACTCAGTTTAACTCCTTCTGCGTTTCGTTTTTCTTCCTCCTCCACTCTTCTCCCCTCTTAGTTCCCTTTTCGATACATTCCCCACTTCCCCTATCGCTCCCACCCCTTCTTACTCTTATCCCTCTCTGCCGCCCCCCCAACCTTCCATGCCCCCCTCTTTCCATCCTCTTTCTTCCCCCAACCCGTCATGACAATCCCACTTAATCCCCCTCGTGTACCCTCCATGCCTTACCTCACCCAGCCCTCCAAAATCTTTTTCTTTCCTCCTCACCGCCCTGACTCGTTATTTCTCCATTACGCCCCTGCCCCGCCTTATTCCCTGGATATACAGGCATCCCGACCCAACAACTTGGATCTCTTACTATCCAGTTCGGGGTCGTAGAGTTAGAAACTAGTCTGGTATAATAAAGCTAGTCTACAGTACTACTGCAGAGATGTCCTCTCTCTCGGGGATCATATCTCTCTCGCTCTCTATCTCTATCTCGTCTCTGTCTCGTCTCATCTCAGACCAGACCTATCTCAGACGCGATTGACCTAAACCTACGTTGTTCAGTTGTTCTCTTTACCGGACCTGCACGACTGGACGAATCAATCCGCAAACAGCCTAAACCTTTTACAACTATTTTACCCTGCAGATACACCGAGAGATCTATGCCACAGAGAGTCCGTATATATCATCAGCTACTATAGATATGCTCTCTATCTCTCTCTCTCGCTCTCGCTTCTCTCTCTGTCTCTCCCGGTCTCTGTGCTCATTCCTATCTCTCTATCTCTCTTCTGTGTCGTTGTTTGATGCTAACATGAATGAGGTGATTATCTCTCACCCCCCTAGTCGTGGTTGGGGCTTCTGTCTGAACGACCGTCCCTCAAAGAAGGATCTGAGCACCCCACTGGCCCGTCTGGGGGTCCGCTACACCACACAGCACCAGTGCCAACTACAGTACGGCCCCAATGCCACCTACTGCCACGAGATCGACGTGAGTACAAAATCAAAATCAAATATTTTGTCACATACACTAGATAGGTGCAGAAATGTGTTGTTTTACAGGGTCATCCATATTAGTACGGCACCCCTGGATCAAATTAGGGTTAAGTGCCTTTCTCAACGGCACATTGACAGATTTTTCACCTTGTCGGCTCGGGTATTCAAACCAGCGACCTTTCGCTTACTGACCAAACACTGTAACCGCTAGGCTACCTGCCACTTACACACGCACGCACACACACACCCCACAACAACAACACACGAATCTGGATGGACACTTACTTAGCCTGGGTTTGTCTTCCTTCTAGAATGTGTGTCAGATCCTGTGGTGTTCAGTGAATGGGTCCTGTCGCTTATAAAAGGACTCCCCGTGATGGCACCGCTGTGGCCTGAGAAGGGGACAAGGGGGTCCCCACGATGTCGCAGACAGGCCAAATACACCCTTCGGCTGGGTTGTCATATACTCAAACTCTCCCCCCCGTGGCCCACTCGCTCGGCACGGCACGGAAAACTGACTCCACTTCTATCGCATTTACTCACCCCCACTCCCCTCTCCCGCCCTCAGTATTCACTTTTCCCTCCCAGCTCCTTTCCCGATTCCCTGCGGTCAGGCATCCCCGCCCTACGTATCCTTTTGGCCTGCTGCGTGGCCGGGCCTTCTACTTCTCACCCCTGTCTCCTTCTTGAACCTTACTCCCGCCTCTGCCTTATCTCCCCCGCCACAACCCTGCATCCTCCCTCCGAATGGGGCGCAGGGACTGTCGTGGTGCGTCCCCCCAACTTCACGCGAAACAACGTGGCTCCTCTATTTGCGTCAAAATCTACCACTGGCGCATGGAATATTTCTACTTCCATCCCATCAATACATCCTCCTCCACATCATATGCTACCTCATAGGATATTAAACACCCCGTACCGTCCCACTCTAACCGCCCTCGAGCTCGCTGCGACACTTTGCTACGGCTTTCGGTCTCTCGCTGTACCGCCCAGCAGCGGGAATTTTGGTCACCTCTGGACCGCAGGAGGGGGGAAGGAATGGGTGGGGACGCGCTCCTTGGCGGAGCGGTGTGTGAAGAGAGCGTAGGGGGGTATAGAGGGGGAGTTTTAAGCAGTGTGGATATAGGGGAAGTACCAGGACAGTGAATGGCAAACTGGGGACAGTGGAGTAGCTGGTCTCACTGTTCCAGGACTGTGGAGCCGGGGTTTGCAGTCGGATGAAGGGAGGGTAAAACCCCAAGTAAAGAACTGATCCCCCACATTCCGTTCACCCTCTCCTCGCCTTCTTTCACCTCCCCTTGTTACATCTTTGATTAAAATGTATGGTCCTTTGTTTCCCTCAGACCAGAGTTTGGTGGGAGGTACTGTACAGGCGAGAGGAGGCGTTACCGTATCTGTAACACCAAACCATGTCAAAAGGCCAAACCTACCTTCAGAGAGATGCTGTGTAGTGAATTTGACACAGTACCCTACCAGAACGAACTCTACGAATGGGTCCCTGTGGCTAGCCCATGTAAGAGCCAAAGTCACACACACACACACACACATTCCACAGTAAACACACCAAGACAGCACAGGAGGCTGCTGAGGGGAGGACGGCTCATGGTAATGGCTGGAATGGAGGGAATGGAATGGTTTGCAACGCCAGGGTTGTGGGTTCGATTCCCACGGGGGGCCAGTATGAAAAAATATATATAATAATAATAATGTATGCACTAACTATAAGTTGCTCTGGATAAGAGCGTCTGCTAAATAACTAAAATTTAAATGTATGTAAATGTTTCAAACACATCTGTTTGGTGTGATGATGCCATTCCATTGATTCTGTTCCAGCCATTACTATGAGCCTCATCATTCCAGGAGTTGTAGTTATATGTATCTCGCAGCAGGGGGCAGCACATACATTTCTAATACTTTTTCAAAACTATAGGAAATTACACTTTTCAATACTAGCACTGGTGTCCCCTCGTTTATTGATCTTCTCCCACCCCCACTCTCATCCCCCCCCTCCCTCTCTGGTTCCATCTCTTCCCTGGGTTCCCAGCGAGTCCGTGTGAGCTGCACTGTCGTCCAGTGGATGAGAATTTTTCTGAGAAGATGCTGGATGCTGTGACAGACGGAACTCCCTGCTTCATGAACAACAACTCCAGGAGCATCTGTGTCAACGGAGTGTGCAAGGTAGAGAGAGAGAGAGAGAGAGAGAGAGAGAGAGAGAGAGAGAGCGAGAGAGAGGAGGGAGGGAAGGAGGGAGTAGGTATTAGTCCTGTCTCTGCGAGGAGAGAGCATGTGGCCTAAGATAAATCTAAGATATAAGCTCTGCCTGTTGGAGTTAAGATAGAGGGAATCTGTTTGTTTTCTCCTCTGTCTGTGTATCTCTGTGTGTCTCTGATCTGATTATCTTATACATTTACCTTATGTTGGTTCTGGAGGTGCCCTTATTCTGTTTGTGTGTGTGTGTGTCTGTGTGTGTGTGTGTGTGTGTGTGTGTGTGTATGTGTAATCTAATCTTGACCTGTGTGTTGTGTCTGTAGGAGGTGGGCTGTGACTATGGTATAGACTCTAACGCTTTAGAGGATCAGTGTGGAGTGTGTCTGGGTGATGGTTCCTCCTGTGAGACTGTCCAGATGACCTTTGATGGGGGGGATGGCTTCGGTGAGTCTCCTCGCCCCTCCATAAATATCTTCCTATAGTCTCATCTCCTCCCAGAACCCCCAAAACATCTCCCACAATGTCTTCACTCACTGGCTAAAGGATTATGTAATTATGTTGTTCCCATGTGGTTGTCATGGCATCGCTCTGTATGGGAGTATACAGCTATTTGTTCTGCTGTCTTTGGCTGCAGACCGCATATCTTTCTCTCTCTGTGTATTTGTGTTAATGTGTGTGTGTGTGTACAGCTATTTGTCTTGCTGTCTTTGGCATATCTGACTGTCAGACTCCAACAACTGTGTTTTTGAGAGAATGACTCACTAGTGAACTCAGTGACCTCACAGCCAGAGAGAGAGAAACCTTTTTACATCAGCAGTTGTCAAAGTGCAGAACAGGAAAGTATTGTAGTTTACTAGAAATCTCCAAGCAGCTCTTCCACACATATCACATTGATGTTGCATTCAAACCTGGGATATAACTCCACTCAGCACTTTGGAGGTCCCAAACCCCAATTGACCCCTAGACCCTACCCACAGACAGTTATAGCCCCTACACCATACCCCAGACAGTTATAGTGTCACGTTGTATACTGATAGAAGACAGGTGCAGGAATACGTAAAAAATTGTTTTATTACTCTACCCAACATAAGGTACGTCATGGAAAACGACAGGGACGAAGCCCAAAACAAACACCTATATATATATATATATATATATATATATATATATATATATATATATATATATATATATATATATATATATATATATATAACACAGGGATGTAACCCAAACAAAAGAGCGAGGTGTAAACCTCTAAATAATACACGGGACGAGATCCGTAATAACAAGTGCACAATGACATGGTATGTAAACTGTAATACAATGTACAGTAACATGTAGCACGAAAGCCGATACAACAGAGCACAGGTACTCACGAGACCAATGGACATGGGACAATAATCGACAAGGACAATGGGGAACAGAGTGCACATACAGTAGGGAAAAAAAGTATTTAGTCAGCCACCAATTGTGCAAGTTCTCCCACTTAAAAAGATGAGAGAGGCCTCTAATTTTCATCATAGGTACACGTCAACTATGACAGACAAAATTAGAAAAAAAATCCAGAAAATCACATTGTAGGATTTTTAATGAATTTATTTGCAAATTATGGTGGAAAATAAGTATTTGGTCAATAACAAAAGTTTCTCAACACTTTGTTATATACCCTTTGTTGGCAATGACACAGACACATATTTTCTGTAAGTCTTCACAAGGTTTTCACACACTGTTGCTGGTATTTTGGCCCATTCCTCCATGCAGATCTCCTCTAGAGCAGTGATGTTTTGGGGCTGTCGCTGGGCAACACAGACTTCAACTCCCTCCAAAGATTTTCTATGGGGTTGAGATCTGGAGACTGGCTAGGCCACTCCAGGACCTTGAAATACTTCTTACGAAGCCACTCCTGCGTTGCCCGGGCGGTGTGTTTGGGATCATTGTCATGCTGAAAGACCCAGCCACGTTTCATCTTCAATGCCCTTGCTGAGGGAAGGAGGTTTTCACTCAAAATCTCACGATACATGGCCCCATTCATTCTTTCCTTTACACGGATCAGTCGTCCTGGTCCCTTTGCAGAAAAACAGCCCCAAAGCATGATGTTTCCACCCCCATGCTTCACAGTAGGTATGGTGTTCTTTGGATGCAACTCAGCATTCTTTGTCCTCCAAACACGACGAGTTGAGTTTTTACCAAAAAGTTCTATTTTGGTTTCATCTGACCATATGACATTCTCCCAATCCTCTTCTGGATCATCCAAATGCACTCTAGCAAACTTCAGACGGGCCTGGACATGTACTGGCTTAAGCAGGGGGACACGTCTGGCACTGCAGGATTTGAGCCCCTGGCGGCGTAGTGTGTTACTGATGGTAGGCTTTGTTACTTTGGTCCCAGCTCTCTGCAGGTCATTCACTAGGTCCCCCCGTGTGGTTCTGGGATTTTTGCTCACCGTTCTTGTGATCATTTTGACCCCACGGGGTGAGATCTTGCGTGGAGCCCCAGATCGAGGGAGATTATCAGTTGTCTTGTATGTCTTCCATTTCCTAATAATTGCTCCCACAGTTGATTTCTTCAAACCAAGCTGCTTACCTATTGCAGATTCAGTCTTTGCAGCCTGGTGCAGGTCTACAATTTTGTTTCTGGTGTCCTTTGACAGCTCTTTGGTCTTGGCCATAGTGGAGTTTGGAGTGTGACTGTTTGAGGTTGTGCACAGGTGTCTTTTATACTAATAACAAGTTCAAACAGGTGCCATTAATACAGGTAACGAGTGGAGGACAGAGGAGCCTCTTAAAGAAGAAGTTACAGGTCTGTGAGAGCCAGAAATCTTGCTTGTTTGTAGGTGACCAAATACTTATTTTCCACCATAATTTGCAAATAAATTCATTAAAAATCCTACAATGTGATTTTCTGGAAAGAAAATTCTCAATTTGTTTGTCATAATTGATGTGTACCTATGATGAAAATTACAGGCCTCTCTCATCTTTTTAAGTGGGAGAACTTGCACAATTGGTGGCTGACTAAATACTTTTTTCCCCCACTGTATATACGCATACTAATCAGGGGGAATGGGAACCAGGTGTGCTTAATGAGACAAGACAGTCCGGGGTTGGTGGTAATGAACCAGGTCAGTGACACCTAGAAGGCCGGTGACGTAGACCTCCGGAGCTGGTGAACGGAATGAGCAGCAGTACCGGGGGGATCCGTGACATATAGCCCCTACCCCCAGACAGTTATAGCCCCTAGACCCTACCCCCAGACAGTTATAGCCCCTAGACCCTACCCCCAGACAGTAACAGCCCCTAGACCCTACCCCCAGACAGTTCTAGCCCCTAGACCCTACCCCCAGACAGTTCTAGCCCCTAGACCCTACCCCCAGACAGTATCAGCCCCTAGACCCTACCCCCAGACAGTTCTAGCCCCTAGACCCTACCCCCAGACAGTTCTAGCCCCTAGACCCTACCCCCAGTCAGTTATAGCCCCCAGACCCTACCCCCAGTCAGTTATAGCCCCCAGACCCTACCCCCAGACAGTTATAGCCCCCAGACCCTACCCCCAGTCAGTTCTAGCCCCTAGACCCTACCCCCAGACAGTTCTAGCCCCTAGACCCTACCCCCAGTCAGTTATAGCCCCCAGACCCTACCCCCAGACAGTTATAGCCCCCAGACCCTACCCCCAGTCAGTTATAGCCCCCAGACCCTACCCCCAGACAGTTATAGTGTAGATGAAAGGATCAGACGTAAGGCATCAGATATAAGCGGTATGGCACACAATTCCAACTAGCCAATCAGGGGGCAAGTTACCACTACTAGCTATCCAATCCTATCAGATGTATAAGAAGTTCTGGGGCATGGGCGAGGGAATGGGGATCCATTTGGAAGTGGTGGTTGGTAGTAGGTAGATCCATTACAGTACCATGTGGGTCTAATTTCACCCGGCTGCATGATGCCTTCATATCTGATAGGACAAGTCATCCAGGACTGGGAGAAGGGAGTGAGCTTTCTGTTTGGAATGCAGACCCAGATCTCAAGCTTACCTCCCAGACACCCACTGAGTGTGTTTGTGTGCGTGCATGCCCCCTTTCCAGACAGCCGCCGGCTCAGCTATATGAAACTTCAAAGGGCAGAGCTGAGATCCAAAGCAATGCTACCCCCTCTTTTACCCTCACAAACAGACACACAACAACACCTCCCCCACCCATCCACACACTATTAAAAAACTGAGACACAGCCAGAGCAGTGCCCCCCCCACACACACACTGGTATAGACCAGAGACGGGGTTAGCCCACCCCTGCCACCCAACAGACACACACCCTCTATTAAAGATCACAGAGAGTCTGGCTGCCATGGTGGCCTCTCTGTAAGCTCTGGCCTCTCCCAGCAACCATTCATTATGTTTTGATTGTTTAACAGTGTCTTCATCATGCCTCTGCTTGCATTTCATTGCTTCTAGCTTTGCTACAATTTCAGGTGTAGGTTTATGATTTCATACCTTCAGAAAGTATTCACTCCCCTTGACTTTTTCTACATTTTGTTGTGTTACAGCTTGAATTTTAAATTGATTTTTTTGTCACTGGCCTACACACAATACCCAACATTTTCTAAGTGGAATTCTATTTTTCAAAATTTTAGCTGAAATGTCTTCAGTCAATATGTATTCATACTATTTGTTATGGCAAGCCTAAATAAGTTCAGGAGTAACAATTTGCTTAACAAGTCTCATAATACGTTGCATGGACTCACTCACTGTGCAATCATAGTGTTTAGCATGATTTTTGAATGACTACCTCATCTCTGTACCCCACAAATACAATTATCTGAAGGTCCCTCAGTCGAGCAGTGAATTTCAAACACAGATTCAACCACAAAGACCAGGGAGGTTTTCAAATGCCTCGCAAAGAAGGGCACCTATTGGTAGATGGGTAAAAAAAAAAAAGCAGACATTGAATATCCCTTTAAGCATGATAAAGTTGGGCCTCCCGAGCGGCACAGTGGTCTAAGGCACTGTATCACAGTACTTGAGGCGTCACTACAGCCCCGGGTTCGATCCCAGGCTGTGTTACAACCAGCTGTGATCGGGAAACCAATGAGGCGGCGCACAATTGGCCCAGCGTCGCCCGGGTTAGGGGAAGGTTTGTCCAGCTGTGATTTCCTTGTCCCATTGCACTCTAGCGACTCCTTGTGGCGGGCCAGGTGCCTGCAAACACAAGACCAAATATACACTGGAGTTGCTTACGAAGACGATATTGAGTGGCCTAGTTACAGTTTTAACTTAAATCAGCTTGACAATCTATGGCAAGACTTGCAAATGGCTATCTCCAAATGATCAACAACCAACTTGACAGATCTTGAAGAATGTAAAAAAATATATATTTGCAAATAGAGTACAATCTTAGAGACTTTTACCCAGAAAGACTTCCAGCTGTAATTGCTACCAAAGATGATTGTAAGATCTGTTGACTCATGGGGTGTGAATACTTATGTAAATTTGATATTTCTGTATTTTATTTTCAATAAATGTGCTAACATTTCTAAAAACATGTTTTCACTTTGTCATTATGGGGTATTGTGTGTAGATGGGTGTGAAAAATAATCCATTTAATCCATTTTGAAATCAGGCTGTAACACAACAAAATGTGGAATAAGTCAAGGGGTATGAATACTTTCTGTTTTTCAGTCCCAGGGACCCATGGGTTTGCAGGCTTTTGTTCCAGCCCAGCACTAACACAGCTGATTCCCCTTTTCCTCGGTCCTCCTGTCCCAGGCTACGTGGACGTGGGAGTGATCCCAGAGGGGGCTCGTGACATTGTGGTCCAGGAAGTGGAGGAGGCGGGGAACTTCCTGGCTCTGCGGGGTCAGATGTCAGAGGAGTACTTCCTGAATGGCCAGTACATCATCCAATGGAACGGGGAGTACAAGGCAGGCGGAGCCACCTTCTACTATGAGCGTAGTGGGAACCTGGAGAACCTTACCTCCTCTGGACCCACCAAACAACCAGTCATGATCCAGGTACACACACCATATAAACTATACACACCAAATACATGAAACCACCCAGCTAGATATTGACCAGCCAGATCAGGATTCAGATATGATACACTCACCCTAACAGCTGAGTACGTTTCCTGTTGTTCAGTTGCTGTACCAGGAGAAGAACCCAGGTATAAAGTACGAGTACACCATCAAGAGGAGCCGCCAGACAGGAAATGAGGTCATCAAGTCGGAGTACAGGTGGAGGCATGGGGCCTGGACAGACTGCAGCACCACATGTGGGCTAGGTGAGTGGTTGTCTTTTAAACAACGAATGATATGCTTTTCCCTTAAGTTATTAAATTCATATTCAGCTTTGATATTACGGCCGTACTGCATTTGTAGCATATTTGTAGTCAGTCTATTAACTTGTCAGATATTAAGAGTTGTGGATTTTGGATTCTGATGATGTGGACGATGATTGCATTCCAATTCAGACAGTCAAACATTATTGAGGGTTATAGCCTACAGTGTGATTATTCAGACGGAAACATTCCCTGTGTTCTGTGCTGTCCAGGTGAGCAGCAGCAGCCTGTCAGGTGTTTTGAGCTGGAGGTGGGCGTGGTCGATGAGTCTCTGTGTGACCCAGAGAACCGCCCAGAAGACAGACACCGCAAGTGCAAGAACATGGACTGCCCTGCCAGGTTCCATAGTTTACTAAGACAACCACTCTATAACGCCTGTCTTATTTCTACTGTAGTACTATGTTATTACTGCTGTATCTGGTGTTATTACTGTCTGTTATAACTGTTGGCACGGTTGTTTTTAGTCTGATTTGCTTCTGAAAATAATAGGTGCAGAATACATATTTGTTCAGGGCTCCTATCTCACACTCTGTCCCCTCTCCCCCTGGGTAGGTGGTGGGTGGGGGGCTGGCAGCTGTGTTCTGCCACCTGTGGTTCAGGAGGGGGGAGGAAGCGCACGGTGCTGTGTGTTCGCACGGTGGCGGGGGAGGAGAGGGTGCTCCACCCTGGGGACTGTAAACAGCTGCTCAAACCCAAATCTGTGGTGCCCTGCAACAGCGACCTGCCCTGTGGACCCGACTGGGCCGTGGGCAACTGGAGCGCGGTACTGTTCTCTTTTCCTCCTTTCTCTCCCTCTCTCCCACCCTGTCTCTTCCTGTGTTTCTGTCCATGCCTCTATCCATTCTCCTCTCTATCTCCCCTATCCTGCCTGTTTTGTCAATGATCTGTCCCTGTGTAATCCTCTCTCATTCTCTCTCTCTCTCTCTCTCTCTCTCTCTCTGTCTCTCTCCTTGTTCTGTTAATGACCTATTTAATCTCTCTCCGTCTCAGTGCCCAGTGACATGTGGTGGTAGCGTGCGCTCCCGGACGGTCACCTGCCTGACCGCACCCAAACGAAAGTGTGACATCGAAACCATGCCTCGCTCCAAGTCGCTGTGCGCCCTGCAGAGCTGCCCAAGCGCAGGCCTCCGACGACGTCCGGGACCACCCCCTAAATACCGCCGTGTCTACCCGCCCAAAAGACACCCCACCAAGCAGCCGGTTACACACTCCTGGGGTCCCAAAAGCACCGCTACACCCAGAACCAGCACTGTGACTGAGAGAACTACAACCCCCATCAACACCTCTACCACCAGGCCCCTCCCACCATCCTCCACAGCTTCTGACATCATCAACGTAGATGACCATGAGTTGAACCTGATAGTGGGGAAGAATGGGAGTGTAGAGGATAAGGAAGATTTTTTTATTACGACCAGTCCTACTGAAGAGGAGAACGGAGAGAGGGACATGAGAGAAAAAGAGGAACACGAGATAAAGGAGGGGAGTGCAGCTGGTTTTGTGTTTCCAGACTCGGGGGTGAGGTACACCCCGGGGTATGACTATGTAGTGGAGGACGTCGTGACAACAGGGGAGGAGGGGCTTATAGATTTGGACATTTTTACCACGGCAACCTCTCTCAGGACTCCCAACCAATCACCACCCACTGTAACCACCACCAGGTTACACCCTACAACCAAACCACACACACCACACACAAGTGTCCAAACAACGTCACTTACAACCCCACACGCAACCAGAGTACCCCTCACTACATCCCCCTCAATCCCACAAACCAGCACTGGACGCTGGGCCATGACCACCCGCCACTACCCCCTTACTCGCCCCAACACCACCCCTTTCATCAACCCTTCCACCCAACGGACAACCATGGTGCCCCACACCACCCCTACACCCCTGGCACACACAGCGGGGGTGAGGACTACAACCAAAGCCCCTTACCACCGTAAACAAGCACTGTACCCCACAACAGAAGGCACTTTCCACACTAGAGATGCCCCCTACTCCACTAGTCCATCATCAGAGACCCCCCACCCCACTGTGAGGATCATTAAGCTGAAGAAGCCCAGTGAGACCCCCAAGAATGGCAGCGCTGCCCCACGTTCTAAAAGGCCAGGCCCACATGCTAAGAAGCCTGCGTCACGTTTTAAAGGCCCCTCCCCTCATTCAAAGGGCAAAGGTCAGGAGCAGACACCAGAAAGTCCCTTGGTGACCTTCACCAGTGACTATAGCTACCTGAACGCCCAGGAGCCAATCAGCGTGGATGTGTTCTGGGTGGTGGGCAACTGGAGCGAGGTGAGTGCAGGAGACTGGAGATAACTTAGAGATGATGACCCTATAGAGACACAATACCTTTCGCTTATTAGAATCACAGGTGGAAGAATGAACAGTCATGGGGGCAGACACACGTCTATATTTACTTACAACATACTTTCCATTGATGAACAAGGGTTTTATATAAGAATTAAATTAAATAAACCAAATCACCCTTTAACCTTCTCTCCTCCTCTTACTGATGTTCCGTCTTCCTCTCTCTCTTCCCACCTGTTGTCTGTGTCAGTGTTCTACGTCATGTGGCCTGGGGGCAGTGTGGAGGCCAGTGCTGTGTAGTTCCCAGCAGGAATCAGACTGTGCCAACCTGGAGAGACCGGAACCAGCTCGCACCTGCCACCTGCGCCCCTGTGCCATCTGGCTGAGTGGCAACTGGAGCAAGGTCAGTATCCTGGGTAAACTATGCAAGACAGCAACACGTCACTTATTATGGTGAGCTGACTATACTCCACCTCTCTCTCTCTCTCTCTCTCTCTCTCTCTCTCTCTCACTCTCTCTCTCTCTCTCTCTCTCTCTCTCTCTCTTATTCTCTCTCTCATTCTCTCTCGTTCCCCCCCCCCCCCCCCCCCTCTCTCTCTCTCCGTAGTGTCCAGAGGGATGTGAGGTGGTGGGAAGGAGGCAGCGTGAGGTGCAGTGTGTGGATGGGCAGAAGGGACGTCCACTGAGACCGTTCCACTGCCAAGCCCTTTCCTCCAGACCCCCCAGCATCCTGTCCTGTCGTCCCCAACCCTGTCAGCCCTGGAGAACCTCCCCCTGGGGACAGGTACACACACACACACGTGTTATCACATGTTGACTGGCTTGGTCCATATGCTACAGTATTCCAGTATTTATAAGATTAAATTAGAATATTATTGTTAATATAAACTCCTTTCATCCCCAGTGCTCTCTTAGCTGTGGTGGTGGATTGAGGGAGCGGCTGGTGTACTGCCCTGAGCCACAGCGCTGTAGCGCCACCCAGAGGCCAAACAACACAGAGACCTGCAACCTGCAGCCCTGCAGCTACTGGGACCCACAGGACTGGGAGAAGGTACAGTTTGCGCGTGTTACATGTTCAGAGTGTGCATTGCATGGTGCGGTGTGCCAGTGGGGACTAGTGTGTGAGTAATGTCTGTTGTCTTCTGTGTGTGTGTCAGTGCTCTGTGAGTTGTGGCAGGGGGATGCAGCATCGCGTGGTGCGGTGTGTCGTTGAGGACCATAGCTCTGTGGAGAACAGTCTGTGTGACCAGAGCAGCAGGCCTGACACACTCAGGACATGCAACTTGCAGGAGTGTAAAACTAATACAGGTAAAACAAACACACATCACTCCCTATTAGCCTTCCTGATTGCTCTTTAGCGGGATATGTCACCTTAAGATGAAGGAATAATTCCTGCAATACTGAAGCTGTTTTTGTTTTGTATATATGCTGTTGATTGATGTATAGTACCGCAGGTAGCCTAGTGGTTAAGAGCGTTGGGCTGATAACCGAAAGGTTGCTGGTTTGAATCCCCAAGCCAACCTCGTTGAAAAATATGTTGATGTGCCCTTGAGCAAGGTACTAAACAGTAAAATGATCTGGATTTTTTTATTTATTGCAGTTGACCTAAATCAGTGTTCTGTTCTGTCCTTGGTGTTGGTTGTGGTTGTGTAGGTCCGCTGTGTAGGAAGAACAGCATGTCGTCTCGGTTCTGTGACAAGCTGAAGCTGCTGGGCCGCTGCTCCCTCAGGTCCATCCAGAAACAGTGCTGTGTCACCTGTAGAGGGTAAAACTCTGACCCGCACTACACCTGCCTCATGGACCCCTCTCATACAAATGCACACATACAGGGCGTCCACACTGCGATCTTATTGGTGAATTTCATCTCTAGTGCAATCAGCCGACAGCAGCCTTTTCACCATCATCATCATAATAACCCCCACAAACCGTCGTTATCTCCATGGGGCAGAAATTCATGGAGCTATGGTACTGTGTACTGCTGCTGTGTGCAGTTTGTCTTAGCCAGCCTTGCACCTTCCCAGCTCTTCCAGGGTAACCCAGGCCTCCAACAACCTCTAAAGAGTTAGTTATGTGAACTTCTCACCAATGTCCCACCTGCTTTCCAATACTGATGAATGTCATTCAGAATGTCAACCTGTGTAATCGGCTTCCACGTTGTTTTCTATTCCAAGTTCCCCCACAGAAATGATGGTGACATCCGGTAACACTTTGTTTACATCCTCTTTTCAGCTGGTATTTGCCTGGTATTTACAAAGACCAGATGAGGTGACAATGGGTATCTTCTGATACTTAATGAATCCCCAAAATAAACAAATTAGTAATGATGAGGTAACTATTATGTAATGAACATTTTGCATGTCACTTCTAAGCAGGGATTGGCAAAAATTACAAAATACAATTTCAAAATACCATAAAGATCAATATATCAAAATAAACAACAAAATACTTGTATTTTGAAATGTATTTAATTAAAATACATGTATTTTGTATTTTAAAATACAGAAATTAATTTGCACTGAGCTGGCCTGAACAGCAACAACATTCTCAGTAACGGTTACAGAAAAGTTTTACTTGCTATGACTGTGATATGTTGTTGTTTATTTACCGTAGTTGAATACACTTGACTGTAAGTCACTCTGGATAAGCATGTCTGCTAAATGACCAAAATGTAAACTGAAAGTTTTCAGACCCCTTGACTTTTTCCACATTTTGTTACGTTACAGTCTTATTCTGAAATGGATTAAATCGTTTTTTCCCCTCATCAATCTACACACAATACCTCATAATGACAAAGCAAAAACAGGTTTTTAGAAATTTTAGCAACAATTTAAAAAACTGAAATATTACATTTGCATAAGTATTCAGACCCTTTACTTTTTTGAAGCACCTTTGGCAACGATTGCAGCTTCCAGACTTCTTGGGTATGACTCTACAAGCTTGGTACACCTGTATTTGGGGAGTTTCTCCCATTCTTCTCTGCAGATCCTCTCAAGCTCTGTCAGGTTGGATGGGGAGCGTTGCTGCACAGCTATTTTCAGGTCTCTCCAGAGATGTTAGATCGGGTTCAAGTCCAGGCTCTGGCTGGGCCACTCAAGGACATTCAGAGACTTGTCCCAAAGCCACTCTTGCGTTGTCTTGGTTGTGTGCTTAGGATTGTTGTCCTGTTGTAAGGTGAACCTTCGCCACAGTCTGAGGTCATGAGCGCTCTGGAGCAGGTTTTTCATCAAGGATCTCTCTGTATTTTGCTCCGTTCATCTTTCCCTCGATCCTGACTAGTCTCCCAGTCCCTGCCGCTGAAAAACATACCCACAGCTGCCACCACCATGCTTCACCATAGGGATGGTGCTAGGTTTCCTCCAGACGTGACGGTTGGCATTCAGGCCAAAGAGTTCAATCTTGGTTTCATCAGACCAGAATATCTTGTTTCTCATGGTCTGAGAGTCTTTAGGGGCCTTTTGGAAAATTCCAAGCAGGCTGTCATGTGCCTTTTACTGAGGAGTGGCTTCCGTCTGGCCACTCTACCATAAAGGCCTGATTGGTGGAGTGCTGCAGAGATGGTTGTCCTTCTGGAAGGTTCTCCCATCTCCACAGAGGAATCTGGAGCTCTGTCAGAGTGACCATTGGGTTCTAGGTCACCTCCTTGACCAAGGCCCTTCTCCCCCGATTGCTCAGTTTGGCTGGGCAGCCAGCTCTAGGAAGAGTCTTGGTGGTTCCAAACTTCTTCCATTTAAGAATGATGGAGGCCACTGTGTTCTTGGGGACCTTCAATGCTGCAGAAATGTTTGGTACCCTTCCCCAGATCTGTGCCTCGACACAATCATATCTCGGAGCTCTAAGGACAGTTCCTTCGACCTCATGGCTTGGTTTTTGCTCTGACATGCACTGTCAACTGTGGGACCTTATATAGACAGGTGTGTGCCTTTCCAAATCATGTCCAATCAATGGAATTTACCACAGGTGGACTCCAATCAAGTTGTAGAAACATCTCAAGGATGATCAATGGAAACAGGATGCAGCTGAGCTCAATTTCGAGTCTCATAGCAAAGGGTCTGAATACTTATGTAAATAAGGTTTTTTATTTTTTATTTTTTATTTTTTTAAACCTGTTTTCACTTTGTCATTATGGGTTATTGTGTGTAGATTGATGAGAAAAATGTTTTATTTAATCCATTTTAGAATAAGGCTGTAACGTAACAAAATGTGGAAAACGTCAAGGGGTCTGAATACTTTCGAATACACTGTATGTGAAAATGAACATACCAAAATGAACTGCAAAGCACACTGGGTATTATTATTGGCCTGGTTTCAGGGTCATGTCTAGATGGGATACAGCCTAACCTAATTCTCCTAACCTGCTGTGTAAATTCAATTTTGACAAAAGCTGTATCCCTTCTAGACAAAACCTTGTTTTGGGGCGGAGCTTTTTCAAATAATACTCAGCTTGCTTTGCAATTGTCCATTTTTACATACACAATTATATTTAGCTAATTTAGCAGATGCTCTTATCACACCATAGTGCTATCAGACTTCTGATACCAATGCAGGGTAAAAGGGGGCCACAAAATGGTGAACCACTATAAAAAATAAGTATTTTGTATTTTGAAAATACAAATTACAGCTCTCAAAAGTATCTTGTTTCAAAACACATTGGAGTGTAGTTCAGCCCAGTGTAATACAAACTACAAAATACTCAGAAGTATTTGAAATAAATATTTCAAATACATGTAACAGAAATACTGCCCATCTCTGCTTCTAGGAAAATACTGGGTAAATAGTAGACTATACAATGAAGAGGAATGTTTTTGTGTAGTGTTTTTTTTAATTGTGTTATTGTGTTTTATTCTGTGTTATTTCTCTCGTTCTAAGAGCTCTCGGGCGTCCTGTGGCTCCGGAAAGTGATTTACCTTAAGCACAGATCTGGGATCAGCTTACGCTCCCCAAATCGTAACTTTAACCATAAGGGTAAAACATAAAACTGACCCTAGATTAGTGTCTCTGGGTAACGTCATCCTATTCTAGTGCTGTGTATCTATCCTGTGGTGCCCCTCCCCTTTCTTAGGCTGGCCAATGAGAATTAGTTGTTGCAGGTCATCCCTCTCAGGCCTCAGTTAAGATTGCCGCTGTGTTTATATGATATTGTACAGGTGCTATTGTCTTTATACAAACCTTCAGCAATAAATGCAATGATGAAAGAAGCATTTGTTGTGACAGCTTTTTGCTTTGAATGTCCAACAAGATTGTATCATTCCTTTTCACTGTTATTTCCCTACAGTACCCCATCATCAGGTGTTAGTTCGGAGGATGCAGCCTTCTTGTGATTGTAGTGTCCTGAAAATGGTTTGTGTGTGTGTTTTGATGGGTTGATGTTGTGTAGTCGGAGTCCTGCCTGGCCCGTGGTGCCCCTGGTTGTCTGTGTTGTGCTGACAGTATCGGTGAGATACGAGCCATGTGGTCGATCTAGGAGGAAATGAAGCGGAAGAAGAGCATGTTATTGGTGGTAATTCTCTTCAAACAGCAAGGCTTTAACACTGGCCCCAGGCTCATGACGTCAGGGGATACTAGCTTCTCTTATCAACCAGAACTGGTTCTATAGTTGGCAAGGTAAACAGGATACATTATATTCCTCAAGGTGTTTCGCGGCACTGCATATTTTCTAGTACAATTTACTGCCATGACTGCATGCTAAATGGGAGTAATTCATGTAATGGAATTTGGACTGGAGTTAGCATTCATCTGAATAAGTGCACTTGTTAGGATCAGGGCTATTCAACTCTTACCCTATGAGGTCCAGAGCCTGCTGGTTTTCTGTTTTACCTGATAATTAATTGCGCCCACCTGGTTTTCCAGGTCTAAATCAATCCCTGATTAGAGGGGAACAATGAAAAAACACAGATGAACTGACTTCGAGGTCCAGAGTTGAGTTTGAGGGGTACTGTATATAGTATTACATTTTCATTTTAGTCATTTAGCAGACGCTCTTATCCAGAGCGACTTACAGTTAGAGAGTGCATACATTTTTCATACTGGCCCCCATGGGAAACGAACCCACAACCCTGGCGTTGCAAGCGCCATGCTCTACCAACTGAGCTACACAGGGCCCGAGAAACTGCTAGGCAACAATCTAGCCTTGCCTGATCTTCAATATTTATATTACGAGTTACATACATGAAGTCACAACACCTAAAAACTCAGTTCTCATTGTTCATCCTCCTGTTCATTAATCTGCTCTAAAGACCCATGCTTTCTGCCTATGTGATCATCCAGGTACTTGCGACGGGTGAAGCAGCTGCCGCACACCTTGCACTCATGTGGCTTCTCTCCAGTATGCGTGTGTCGGTGCGCGTTGAGAATACTGATCTCACAGGAGGTTGGTGATACCTTAATTGGGGATGACGGGCTCGTGGTAATGGCTGGAGCGGAATTGGTGGAATGGTATCAAATACATCAACATGCTTTCCATGTGTTTCATGCTATGCCATTTGCTCCGTTCCAGCCATTATTATGAGCCGTCCTCCCCTCAGCAGCCTCCACTGTAATAGTATGTGCACCATGTAGATACCTCCTGCTTGGTCGACATGCTGTAATATGAAATTGGACTGTTCACCACATGTCTTTAGGGAAAAAACTAACACATCCACCACCAATGTGGAGCACATACCCAGCTCAGTCCACAACACACATGGGCTATCACAGTGGAGCGGTGAGGGGGGAATATTCTCAATTGAAAACAGTCGGGTGATTAGCTACAGATGTAGGATCTTAATTTGAGCCAGTTTTCTACAGCGGGAAAATAATCCTGCAGCAACAGGAAATTTGAATTATTATGTGCATTATATTTAATGAACATTTTTGTAGGAGTTGATACATTTTTCGTAAGGGAAAATCAAGTCTGAAATTTCAAAGTGGAAATTACAAACTTAAGAAGCCTTTTTAAACCTCAAATACACTACAAGTTTTACATTTCCTGTAAAGTTATCTTGCAACCGGAAGATCAAATTAAGATCCTGCATCTGTAGCTGTGTAACACCCAGCACTGTAGCGCCAGGTTCTGTTTCATC